CAGCGCACTCACCTATCCACTAAACAGCAACTTCAATGTTGAAAGATTTTATTAGTTTTTTTTTTAAAAACACCTAATCTAGGCAAAAATAATGGGGGTTTAGTTACATTATATGATCATACATTGCATAAGCCTGCCACAACACCAATGTACCCCATCTTTGGCAGGTCCTACACTAACAGCCTAATGTCTGCTCTTATGAGATTAACCACTTACTTGAGGAAAATAAATTCCATCTGGGGCTCTCTGCAGTACAAGGCTAAATAGGGCCCTGCGATGAGGCACCTGTGACAGGGAGGGGTGCAAAACCAAGGAGTTGGCTAGACTCCCAAATATATATATGAAGGGGGGAATAAACTGAAATGGAGGGTAGGAATAAATTTAAAGGTAGGGTGGGGAATAAATTGAAAGGGGGGGAATAAAGTGACAGGGGGGTGGGAATAAATGGAAAGGGAGGGGGAATAAATTGACAGGGAGGGTGGGGGGAATAAATTGAAAGGGAGGGTGGGGAATAAATTGAAAGGGGGGGAATAAATTGTCAGGGGGGGATAAATTGAAAGGGAGGGTGGGGGGGAATAAATTTGCAGGGGGGAACAAATTGAAAGGGAGGGGGAATAAATTGAAAGGGAGGGGAAAAAATTGACAGGGAGGGAGGGGGAATAAGAGTGGGGAGGGGAGAAGAGAGGGACAAGCAAAGGAGAAGAGAGTGACAAGAGAGGTGGGGAGAAGAGAGGGACAAGGGGGAGAAGAGAGAGAGAGGGGGGAGAAGAGAGTAACAAGGGAGGGGGGAGAGATTGACATCCATCACACACACACACAATGCACCCCTTACACACAAAGACAATGCACCCCTTGCACACAGAAAAACACACAATGCATTACACACACACACACACACACAAGCAATGCAACCCTTACACACAATGCATCCCTTACACACACACACAGAAACACACAATGCATTCCTTACACACACTCAATGCACCCCTTACAGACGCACACACTGCATCCCTTACATACACAGAAACACACCTTGCAGCCCTTACACATCCAAATACAGATTCACACAATGCATTCCTTACACACATATCAGGACATCCCCCTACTCCACCCCCTGTGAACAAACTCATTGGTGGAACATGAAGGTGGACCCTGGGACCCAGACCTTGAGCTGTGTAAAGGGCCTTAAAAAAAGGGAGCTGCTTCCCAGAACATTGATTTTTGTGACCACAGTTACAAACAGCCTCCAGAGAGCCTGTTCTACACCAGACCAGTGGAGCCAGACTGCAGCTAGAGCCCATCATCATCCTCATCTGGTTGTAAGTAGGCAATCTAGTATATTATTCGTGGCACTAATCTCTAATTTACCTCACATTAAAAACACTATAGTCCCCAGAACCACTTCAGCTTAATGTAGTGGTTCTGGTGTCTATAGCCTGTCCCTGCAGGCCTTTTAATGTAAACACGGCAGCACTGCAGCACTGGCATTAGTTAACATGGCAGATCATATGGGTGGGGCATTGTGATGTCACATGGGGGCGCGGCAAACTTTACTTTTGCCTAGGGCGGCAAAAATCCTTGCACCGGCCCTGCCGGCACACTCACTGATACTGACAGCAGGTCAGCTGTCAGCACAGGAGATGGGGCCGCCGGCCGCAAGGTGAGTATCCCCCTCAGAGTGTGCCGACGGACCGGCCACCCGGCGGCACCAACATGCGGCCAGCGGCTGTGATATTATTAAAAATGGCTGCAGGGCTCCCCCTCTATAGGGAGTGAGAGCTCTGCAGCCCCCAGGTGCTGCGGCCCACTGAGAAATTTCCCGGTATCCCGGTGGGCCAGTCCGACCCTGTGTGTTTGTATTCGGCAGTCGGTGTGTGTGTGTGTGTGTATTCAGCAGTCTGTGTGTGTGCATGTGCGTATCCAGCAGTCTGTGTGTGTGTATTCAGCAATCTGTGTGTGTGTATTTAGCAGTCTGTCTGTCGATAAGTTACAATTTTATTCCTGTGAGCTGTGGTGTAGTAGTAGTAGTAGTGCACTACTTTGCCCAGGGACCTCTAATGCTGTTAAGATGGCAATGGTCATCACGTGAGTATATCAATCTCCTACAAGTGCTCAGAGGAGACAAACTTGTTTACAAATTTCAAACAGTTTGCTTTTGTGTTACTACCGTAAATTTTCCAGTATGTATCAGGTTTTCTCTTTGTGGTTGCTGAAGCATGTTTAGATAGTTGTTTATCGCTTTTGGGATAATAATATATAACCATATTAGAATGTCCTATTATTTTATATCAGATATCAAAATACACACTTTCTTTAAAATATAAAAAAAATCTACCATCAGGACAAAAGACAACAAAGCTATACATAAGGCAGTTTACATTGCAGGAGCTTGGGTTGGTGCTGCCTGGTTGCCATGTTTCATGTACAAAATATTATTTTTTGGATGTCAGCTTTGAAATTCGTAAAAATAAGTAAGATTAGATTCTTCCCATAAGATGGTCATGCAAATGTGCTTGTTTCTTGAGAAAGTTTTTAGAATGAAATATGGAAACGCATCGATGAGCTACTGACAATTTTTTAATCATGGTGTTGTGAGTGTATCATTTATTTTTTTATCTCATACGATACAATGTGCAATACATGAATGTGGATTTTATTTTTCGTAATTTGGTTGTCCACCATTAGTTTTCTGCAGGAAGTGAACCAGCTAGTTATATTTCCTTAATTTTCTATGCTAGTACTTTGCTTATATCATACATCTTTGCGCACAACAACTTTATAGGCACAGTTTGGGTTTGTGAGAGCTGCAGTTACATTGTGTACATTTTACTGTATAATTCTAATCAGGGCCGGATTAAGAGCACAGTGGGCCTGGCGCTGATGGGCCTAATTACGTAATCTTATCGACCAAAAACACTAAAACAGTCATACCTCCCAAGCATCATGTATCTGATGGAGATGGTGCTGGAGGGAAACTCATGGGATGCAGCTATAAGAAACCACATACTCTATGCTAATCTCTCTAATTTATGCTTTCATCTTTCAAGTAAATCCATAACCCCTAACAGCAGTGAAGCAGGAAGTCAATTGGCGGGGTAAAAGGGTGTGCCACTGGTGCGAATCACAGAGGAAAAAACTCACAGGCACTCCAACTTCAAGCCGCAGGCAGATTTATTATGACAGAATGCAACGCAACGTTTCGACCGGAAAGGTCTTTTTCCGGTCGAAACGTTGCGTTGCATTCTGTCATAATAAATCTGCCTGCGGCTTGAAGTTGGAGTGCCTGTGAGTTTTTTCCTCTTGGATTATTGTACTGGGATTGCTGGTCCTGCTCTGGAGCACCCTTGGCCGCTGGGATTGGGTGCGGTTCTCATCACTTACTCTGCTCACTGGTGCGAATCACGTGACCAGACCTGCCAAAAGGGGAGAACATGCCCAAAAAGGAGGCATGTCGGTCCAAAGAATTTGAAGGACAGCCTGGCATGAATGCATGTCAGGCTGCCCGCCAATCCTGCAGGCTGTCCAATTAACGGCATACGATGCAGGCAGCACCCTGAGCTTGACATAAATGCGTCTAATGATGCGCTCACTCCATGCTTTCTAAGGACTGTCCCCTAGCACTCGCTGGTCCACTTGTCTCCTTACCTTCTTACCAGCAGGCAGAAGTTCCTGGTATATAGTCTGAGACAGAGAAAAGGTGTATGTGGTAAGTATAGAAGAAAGGGGACATGCCACAGTGTTAGAGAGACCAACGTCTGCATTACCTGAACTAACTTTATTGTCAGCCAGTCCACACAAGTTTTGTTCACATACATCCCTCTTAAGCTTCCAAACTTAAAGGGACACTATAGTCACCAGAACAACTACAGCTTATTGTATTTGTTCTGGTAAGTAGAATCATTCCATTCAGGCCTTTTGCAGTAAACACTGTCTTTTCAGAGAAAATAACTCCACTGGCCACTCCTTAGATGGCTGCTGGAGGTGCTTCCTGGGGCAGTACTGCCTAGTGTGCAGCACTGCCATTCAGTGTCTCCACCCTCTGTATGCAGACACTGAACTTTCCTCATAGAGATGCATTGATTCAATTTATCTTTATGAGGAGATGCTGATTGGCCAGGGCTATGTTGGACTTGTGCTGGCTCTGCCCCTGATCTGCCTAGTTGACAGTCTCAGCCAATCCTTTGGGGAAGTATTGTAATTTGCTCAGACCACCACTTCTGATGATGTCAGCAGTCAGTTCAGAGGCAGAGCCAGCAGCTGCAGACTTGAATACTAGTTATATTTTACTATACTTAGGGAGGCAAGAAGGGGCCAGGTGGTTTTAACATAATACGGTCAGAAATACATGATTGTGTTCCTGACCCTATAGTGCTCCTTTAAGCAAGAGTATGTGAAGAGTAGTTAGGGTTGCCACCTTTCTTGGAAAAAAATACCAGCCTTAATCATTTGTATAATCACAAGGAGTGACATCAGAGAAAATTCTGTAAAATCACCAACAAACTACTCACAGTTTGATTCTGCTGTATAGATGGATTGCTCCCAGTGTCTCAGTCTCGCAAGTCACCCAGTGTCTCAGTGTCCCTATGTATTACAGTGTCAGTGTCCCCATGTCGCCCAGTCCCCTAGTCTCTCAGTGTCCCCATTTCTCCCAGTGTCCCAATGTCTCAGTGTGTCCCCATGTCACTAGGATACTGGGGACACAGTGAGACATGGGGACACTGAGAGACCCGGGGACACAGAGACCCGGGGCCACAGAGACATGGGGACACAGAGACATGGGGACACAGAGACATGGGGACACTGGGAGACATGGGGACACTGGGACATTTAGGGAAACTGGGAGAAATGGGGACACTGAGACACTAGGGACACAGACACTGGGAGACATGGGGACACTGAAACATTTGGGGACACTAAGACACTAGGGACACAGAGACATGGGAACACAGACACTGGGAGACACTGGGAGACATGGGGACACTGGGAGACATGGGGACACTAGGCACACTGAGACACTAGGAACACAGACACTGGGAGACTTGGGGACACTGAGACACTAGTGACACTGGATGTGGGACACTGGGAGAAATGGGTCATAGTGTCTCCGTGTCCCAATGTCTCCCAATGTCCCTATTTCTCACAGTGTCCCCATGTGTCTCAGCATCCCCATGTGTCCCAGTGTCCCCTAGTGTCTCAGTGTCCCCATGTTTTCCCGTGTCTTAGTGTTTCCAGGTTTCCCAGTGTCTGTGTCCCCATGTGTCCTAGTGTCTCAGTGTCCCCTAGTGTCTGTGTCCCCTAGTGTCTCAGTGTCCCCATAGTCCTCTAGTGTCTCAGTGTCCCCTAGTGTCTCAGTGTCCACATGTGTCCCCTAGTGTCTCAGTGTCCCCATGTGTCCCTGCTGCCTTTCCCCCGATCCCTCACTTACCTGAGATGTAGAGCTGATGTCTGAACTCGGTGCTGTGTTGCTGCTCCCCCACAGATCAGTAAGTAGTAGAAAGAGGCAGAGATATGCTGTAACTTCCTATCCCTGCCTCTCTCCACACACAGTGACCCCTACTGGCCGGTGCTGGTATTGCAGAGTAATCTCCATTTATTCTGAGAAAAATACCTGCATTTGTATTGCTGGTATTACTGCAATCCTGGCACGGCCCGGCAGCCTCAAATATTGGCTGTGCCAGTAAAATACCAGTAGTGTGTAAAAAAAAAAAAATGGGCCTATTCCATGGGCCTGGGCCTGGGCCTGGATCTGCAGCTCCATCAGCCCCTATGTTAATCCGGCCCTGATTCTAATAACGGATCTAGAAACACCAGAAATCTTTGCTGTAGAAACTCTCAGAATAAGACAACTGATGATATTGGGTACAAAATATGTTGGCACTTTATAAATGCCAATAATAAATAAATAAAACTGTATTGTTAGAGTAAAAAATAAGTTACTGCAGTTTGGGAGGCAGGGACAGAAATTGTGCGTTTATCGTCCAACATGGTTATTGGAAAAAGAAAAGCTAATTAAAATAAAAGGAACACTCCAAGCACCATAACTACTACAGCCATTGTAACGTGTTTGGTGGAAGGTGTACCTTGATGCTGTCTGACAGTAGGATATTAAACCAGTTTAGCACAATTTGACAACATACCTAGATTTTCCTGGGTGCCTACACAACATCTGGTCTTCTTCAGCAAGAGAAACCAAATGTCTCTGTAGTAAAGCACAGCTGATGTAGGACTGCACTCATGGTTAGCGGACACTCTCAACCTAATTGTGCAGTCCTACATGGTCCTGATTTTTTCTGTCGAGAAACCTGACTTCTCCACCTGGAGAAGACTCGATGCAGCAGAAGCGCTGCAGGCACCTGCCACGATCCAGTTAAGTTGTCCAGCTGTCCTTAAATGGTTAAACTGGCACTTTACAATAAATGTTGTACTGTATTTTCTGAGAAATAGATATGCATAAGAGCGTATAGTTTTTTTTTGGGGGGGGGAGTGAGGGGGGAGAAGGATCTTGGGTGAGTACCCACACTTTTTTCCCCAGGACTTGACCCCTGCCTTTCTCTAATAATGACAGTTCCTGTATTGAGAGGTCAATTCCTGAGATGTTAAAAATAGAAACATAGAAACATAGAATGTGACAGCAGATAAGAACCATTTGGCCCATCTAGTCTGCCCAATTGTCTAAATACTTTCATTAGTCCCTGGCCTTATCTAATAGTTAGGATAGCCTTATGCCTACCCCACGCATGCTTAAACTCCTTTACTGTGTTAATCTCTACGACTTCAGCTGGAAGGCTATTCCATGCATCCACTACCCTCTCAGTAAAGGCATGAAATGAGTATCAAGGGCATCGAGAAAATAGTAATTGGAAGGGAATGGTGGTGAGAGATACATTGGGAATATGATTGGGAGAAGTATAATGGGGGACTATAGCTGGGAAACATATATTGAGCATATGGCTGATATTTTATGAGATACAGCTTAAGAGTTATATGTAGAAGCAGGGCCGGCCTTAGGGGTGTGCAAGCTGTGCGGTCGCATAGGTTGCCATGGGGCAGGGGGCGGCGTGCGGCCGCACTGCTGGCCGGGATTAAAATTTGGGGGGGGGCGGGGCTTCCCTTGCAGCTGGGGTTGACCTTCCCGTGCAGTGGGGGCGGAGCTAAAAGTGCAGGATAACTGTTGCAGGGGAAGCAGGAAGGAGTCCCTGCTTCCCCCAACAAATAGTCTCCAGGAGCTGCACTGCCTCCACAATGAACAGAGGTAACTATGGTATTAATACAAACAAAGAAAAGGTGTGTAAATGGCGCTATAGATATAATAGTAAAATATATCCCAGTGCGTCACAAACCACACAAGTGTTATATCACCTCAAACACTTACATTAAATATGGATAAAATAGAGAGAGGTTGGTGCACACAATGGATAGTTTTGCAACAATCTGTAAAATATATAACAGAACCTTCATAGGGCAACATATATAAGAAAATATTCAAATATACGTATAACTGGAAAAACTCACAATTTGGAGAGCCATATAAGTCGGCTCTCTACTGAAATAGCAGGTAAGTGATTCCAAAACGACAAATAGCCACAGTGGTGATGGTCCCCCAGGAAAAAGGAAGCTTCAACTCCACCTGGATAGAATTTCAGGAACCAAATATAACTCAAAATAATTCTTTATTAGGATAGAAGAAAATATAAAAGCACTAGCACAACGCGTTTCGACCAATATACTGGTCTTCCTCAGGTTTATAAGGATCAAGTAAAAATAACAGGCTTAAATACCTAACAAATAAAATGACAATATAAACCACATGTGAATAATTACACAAAACCCCTCCCAACTTGTCCATATATAGAAGTACCATTTATGTTGTTCCTCCTCCAATATGGTGGTATATGGTGTATCTTCATTGATGTCACTTCCGGTTAGCGTCTATTTGGGAGCGGAATAGACGCTAACTGGAAGTGACGTCACAACACAAACCGGAAGTGACGTTCCGGTGTAACGACGAAAGTCACGTGATTTTCACGGACATCCTGTCCATGCCGCCATCATGAAGAGGTCGGCCTTCTATGGACATCAATTAAGATACACCATATACCACCATATTGGAGGAGGAACAACATAAACTTCTATATATGGACAAGTTGGGTAGGATTTTGCAATGTGACCAACATCCACTCTCTGCGGGTGGCACATTCCATCGAGAGGTTTGTTTTACCATGGAGCCTCCTCCTTTTCTGCAGACATTAAGTTAGCAGTTTACTTTTGGGAGCCATCTTCATCATGTACCTGTGGATGCTCTGTCTTTCATCCAGAACTGTGACCTTGCTACTCATCAGGCCCTGACCTCCTTCCTTCTGGCTTGTGTACACGGTGTGGGTGCTGGGTTTGTAGTGGAAATCTCCATTCATAGTGAATATTTTCCAGGTGTTGATGTCCTTAGTGTTTATCTCTTTTCTAATTTTTCTCTTCTATTTGCAAAGTTATTATTCCAGCTAGGTACCTGATGACTGGTAGGCAATATATACTTGACATACTTGAAAACGAGATAAATCTCAATGTATCTTTCCTGGTAAAATATTTTATAAATAAATATGTTGGCATATATATGTCATGGATCTTATACTTGCCATTAAGCTGGGATTACAGGACCTGTCTAACTTTCTAGAGCAGGGGTGCCCAAAAGGTAGATCCCCAGATGTTTGTAGAACTACAACTACCATGATGCTTTGCATGCTTTTAGAATGCTTTAGAATGACTAAGCATCATGGAAGCTCTAGTTTTAAACCATCTGGGGATCTACCTTCTGGGCACCCTGCTCTAGAGATACATGGCTGCCTTGTATTTGTGGTATCCCCATGAACTTGTATCTGTTCTCTACATCATTACATCATCTTTTTGACTTCCTGGCTTCCCCATCAGAAATATATATACTATATATATAGTACACAGAGAAAATTGGTTCCTGCATGGACCATTAAAGTGTAATTCCAGCAGCCAACTCTAAGACCAACTTCTTGTAAGTCCTACACTAACAATTCACCTTGCTGCTTTCAGCTAAAAAGGCAAATTCTTAAATGAGACATAAAGGGGCATTTTATATTAACTATTAATAATGACAAATCCACCCATATTAAAGGAACACTATAGTCACCTAAATTGCTTTATCTAAATAAAGCAGTTTTAGTGTATAGATCATTCCCCTGCAATTTCACTGCTCAATTCACTGTCATTTAGGAGTTAAATCACTTTGTTTCTGTTTATGCAGCCCTAGCCACACCTCCCCTGGCTATGATTGACAGAGCCTGCATGAAAAAAAAAACTGGTTTCACTTTCAAACAGATGTAATTTACCTTAAATAATTGTATCTCAATCTCTAAATTGAACTTTATTCACATACAGGAGCCTCTTGCAGGGTCTAGCAAGCTATTAACATAGCAGGGGATAAGAAAATCTTAATTAAACAGAACTTGCAATAAAGAAAGCCTAAATAGGGCTCTCTTTACAGGAAGTGTTTATGGAAGGCTGTGCAAACAAAGGAATTTTTTTTTATTTTTATAAATTTTTTATTTTGTGGTGCAAACAATTGACACAGACTCTTGCGTTGCCCCAACAGCAAGTACAAGATAAGCAAATACATAAATGAACAAATAGAGGGCATGGTAGATCACTGCACACATTTTTCTTTTTTAGTAGCAGCTAGGACAAGTGGTTTTCAAACATGTCTAGGGAGGATAGCAAAACTTAAGACGTGGTTGATGTGGGTTGTATAGACATGAGTGGTATGCGGGTGCGTGGCTTAAAACTTGCTGGTGTGACTTGCGCGTTTACAATAAACAATTAATAAACAAGTAGGTTGTTCGGCTAGCTGGTATGTCGTTATGAGATTAGTGAGTAACAAACTATCTGAGCTGCGGCCTATTAGGTGCTGTACATGCTAGTTATCAAGATGCAAGGAGAAAAAAACAATATCAAACACATTTAAGATGGGGACAGGCTGATAAATGAGTTAAGTGTGAGCGGACTTGGTATTCGGGCTGGGTACAAATCTTGCCGTTATTGTTACGAGGGACCTATGAGCTTGCTATATTCAGTGATAACTGAGAGCCTATGGAATCAGATTCTAAAAGAAAATAAGACTGGATATATAGGCAACA